TTAAAGGTGAAAATGAGCAGTGAATGGCTCACCCTCATGGCTCTGTGTGCCGTTCTCTTCTTTGGCGCTCTCTGGGTCACCTGAAGAGAAAGCATATGTTCTCATTCAACAGTTACCATACTAGCTGCTTTATCTGTGACTTTTACTTGGTTTTATTTGGTGACTTTATCTGTTTTGTTTTGTTTTGTTTTTTATAATCTTTTTTTCTGACATGTTGGTGTTATATCTTTCACTTGGATCTTATAAGTTGCACTAGCCACTAGTAGCACCAAACAAAATGACAAAGATAATGATTTCATTCAGAGTGCATGATGCATGAACATACAGTATGACTGTTTTCAAACAGATTTCCTCAACAATTACACCTGCTCCAAACTCCACATCATTGGTTGAGCAAATGTTATGTTGAGACCAAGTAGAAAAACACATCTGATGGTGCAGAAACAACACAATTTGCCTGTTGTGTTTTAGACTGTAAGTGTTTTAGATTTCATATTTATAAATCATGTGTCAGCACATGTAACTAAGACAGTGTTTTACTGATTCACATCTGAATGTCTTCTAGAGCATGAGCAGAGCCACAGACCTCTCTGGACCTTGAAGCACAGTTTCTTCTTCTGATAGGTGAAGTATCCGGCTATGGCACCAACAGCTGCTACTGCAATCCCACAAACAACACCAACAACCGTACCAGATCCGCTGTCTGCAACAGAACCACCCACACCAGGTCAACAAGTCAAAGCTGGTATTCACAGTCGTGTCACTATGTGGCTGTATGGTTACGCAAGTGTTCTGTGTGGTTGCTAGGGAGTTGTTGGGGAGTTCTGGGTGGTTACTAGGGAGTTGCAAGGAAGTTCTGGGTGGTTGCTAGGGAGTTGTTGAGGAGTTCTGGGTGGTTGCTAGGGAGTTGTTGGGGAGTTCTGGGTGGTTGCTAGGGAGTTGTTGAGGAGTTCTGGGTGGTTGCTAGGGAGTTGTTGGGGAGTCCTGGGTGGTTACTAAGGAGTTCTGGGTGGTTGCTAGGGAGTTGTTGAGGAGTTCTGGGTTTTGGGTATGTTGCTAGGTAGTTGCTGGGGAGTTCTGTGTGGTTGCTAGGGAGTTGTTGGGGAGTTCTGGGTGGTTGCTAGGGAGCTGCTGGGGAGTTCTGGGTGGTTACTATGGAGTTGTTGGGGAGTTCTGGGTGGTTACTAGGGAGTTGCTGGGGAATTCTGGGTGGTTACTAGGGAGTTGTTGGGGAGTTCTGGGAGGTTACTAGGGAGTTGCTGGGGAATTCTGGGTGGTTACTAGGGAG